CACGTGCGATTCAATCGACTTGACACCTCTGCTCGTGCAGCGAAACCTTTTTTCACACCCTGCTGAAGCAGAAGACGCCTTTTTGCGTCTCATCTCGCCGTCACGATGGGTCACAGCCGGCGTCACGGCTTGGAATTCTGCTGTTGCGTGAGTCATCCTCCTAGGCTTCCTCTCCGCTTTCTGCCTCGCTTGTCGAATGGAATGCTGACCGCGCCACTGAGCTTGCGCAGGCTTTTCCCCTCGTCAATGCTGGTGCTTATGTGATCATCATAGAGACATTTCTGGTCGCGTTGGCCGTGCTCGTGCTGGCACTTGCGCCACCAGCCATCGTAGCAGCCACTGGCTCCTTACCAGCTGGTTGGCCCAAGTACATTGTCGCGATCATTGCGCTGATCATCATGCTGCTGCAGCCTGTGGGCCTCTTTGCAGTGATCAAGCAACGACCATCCCTGTACCGCGGCTATCTTCGAATCGCCACCATACTCGTCTTGGCAGAGATCCTCGTCACTCTGGCTTTCTTTGCAGTTGCTGCAGCCAGACATTCGACAGCGCTCGAGTCGTGCATCGCACTATATGCCAATACTCCACAGGGAGATGGAGCTGGTTTCAGCACATCACAGACAGACAATGCCCTTGATGGTGTCGGAGACGCGATCTGCAACGTGTGGATATGGATTCAAGTGGGGTTGATGGGTCTTCTCATTGCGCTGGTCGGCATCACTCAGGTGCGTTTTGGGATCTGGCAACTATTCGCGCCAGCGCAGCCCCTGCTTTGATCTCGGAGTGGTTCCGGACCTTCTCTGACCCTTCAGTCTGCTCCTCATTCAGCTGTACATGCTCTATGCCCAGCGCACATACGGACAGCGTCAAAGAGAGGCCTCTTTGGCGCACAAGTCATACAATGGCGGGCCTCACGAAGGCATTCCGCTCGCTGCTCGAGACTCGGAGGTGTGGGGATCTGCAGCCGGTCCCGAGGAATACGGATCCTATCCTTCTCATCGCGGTCAAGCTTCCGAGCCATATGCATCTCGCAACGTCGGAGCTGGGGTGGGTGCAGGCAGGAACGCGTACAACGATCCGGGCAGCCCTCCCCACTCTCCAACGGGCGTGGGATCATACAGCGCCGCGGCGTACAATCACCCTGCTCCTTATGGACAGCAGCCGTACGGCTATGGAGGTGGAGCTTACGATCAGAGCTCTTACGACGACCAGTACGCAGCGCGAGGATACGATTCCTATGAGCCTCAAGAGGCTCATCGAAGAAATGATGGTGCTATCAGGTACCATGCGGACGTCTAGAGGAGAAAGGACGTGTACGCGTTCTTCAATTACGGCATTTCACGTGCGCGCCATGTGTCGTCTTTCTCCTCGCACTTTCGGTACACAGTATGAACTCCATCGAGGAGCTCCTATGGACATTTGACTCGTTTCGGTAATGCATTGTTGCTTTGCACCCAAATCGAGCTGTTCATACTTGCCTGCTCACAGCGAGATCGAACGTGTCCGCGGGTAGCTATGTTGCATGCTTCATGAAGGACGGACACGCACGCCGCTTGCTTATTGCCTATGCTGCCGTCAAAGCTCTGATAAAACTTCTTTGCCTGAGAGATAAGGCGAACCCGCTTTTGAAGGTTGCCGTCACACCCGTCAGCCGTCACATACGTCGAAATACGACACGCAGTTGCACAAGCGAGGGTCGAAAGCTAGCAGCGCCCCTCTAGCTGCAAGCGTGCACATGCTGAATCACAATGCGCGATTTCTATGCAAGCAATCTTTGCAGTCGAGTGTCGATTGCCTGAGAATCGCCGCGGATACCGGCAGGACGGCAATCTCTACGGACGTCGGATGCGACGCTTGTGCAGGCAGCTTGCAGCAGGTCGGCCAAGGCATACAGCTTCTTGCGCATCCTATGCCCGCTACGATATCCGTCTTGGATGCTGCAACTGGGCCTGTGTCAAGATTCGTGACTTGTATCAACGCTTGCCGATGAAGAGTAGCGCAAATGAGCAACAGGAAGAAATATTCTTATCCCCGCGCCTCGTCCGAAATGGGAAGAAGAGTCTGATGAGTGCGATGAGAGTAGTAGTGATAGTAGGGAGTAGTAGTATTCTTGGCATTCGTCGGACGGTGACCAGCTCGTGTAGTCACCGAGTCTTTGTAAATCAACGGCTGCTTTGTGCGCTTTCCGACCCACCTCACCTACATCCTGGGTACGGTGACTTTGGCACAGCATCTGCGTCCGTTAAGCTGCAGCCTGTTTTTCAGATGTCAAGGTTGTGATCAGTCTTGATCGAGCGTGACCTGCTCCGCTGAGGTGAGGCGCGTTCAACCTCGAAGCCTCATGATGCCCGCGAAGTCACGAATCGCATCTCGTAATTGACTCATGCTCGCGATTCCTCTTGTGAGATGAGACAAAATGATGTGCATAGCTGCCCGGATGCCGCGTTATGATCACTGTCCATTGATTTTGTCAGGTTCAGGCACAGAGGCGGATGGATTGTGGCATTCGGCTAAGCCCGTATGGGCGTCTGACCATGAGCCCACGCTTGACACTAGGACTCACGGCTCTGATTGAAAATGTAGAGCATTCACGAAGGACGGAGGACGCTTTGGTTTGCCATTCGCCGCCTGCTTTATGTATCATAAACCTGATTCGACAACTTCTCGGTGGTGGTGTCTTGAGGCTCTTGAGTGCTACGGCGAGACACGAGAACGTGGTACATCCCTCGACCGCTTGATCTGGGGCAAACGGGCGTCTCTGCATGTGTGCTCGACGCCTGTAACAAAGCAGTCGGGCCTTTTCTGCCCTTGCCTCTCAATCAGCAAGAGGCTTTCAGTCCTTGAGTCCAAATTTCGAATGAATGAACGTCTGATATATTCACATGTTGACCGCGACATGCTCAACCTTCCACTCAGACCCTTGACTGTGACTCTAACTCCTGACTTTTGAGCTGATGATGAGGATGTGCAAGATGATCAACGATTCACATTTAAATTCAACTTTTTTTGTTTTTGTTTGATTTCGTTCGCAGGCTTGGTCGCTGATTTGGATTCTTGATTCAGAATCAAAAGTCGAGCACGCGCGCGATACGCTATGCGCTCGCATTTGTCTCAAAAGCAATCGATTCACTTTTCATGGACTCACATTTACCGTACATTCAATTCAGATCTGACACTCAGACTCAATGACTCCATTTGTGGAGGCGGGCAGGCCAAGTACCCACGTGCAAATTCTCGAGTCGGAGTCTCAGGGACACTTACTGTGCATGGGGCTTTTAGTCACTTGGCGACTGAGAGGTCAGGCATCCTGTCGCCGCTACACCGGTACAGACTCCTATAGAGGGGCAGAGGGCATCCAACCGAGCGTCACGAGGGCAGCTATGTACGTAGCCAGTTGTATTTTTGTGGAGCGACTCAAGACTTCAAAACGATGCGTATTGGTTGTTTTCAAGTCAACAAATCAATCACGAATACTCAAGAATCACAATATGAATGGTGAACCGGCACGCGCGAAAGGCAGGCGCGATCAATCAAGAATCACTCGGACTGAATGTGAATCACAATCACGAATGCTGCTTGATGACTGAGTCCACCAGAGCTGCTGCTGCTGCTGCTGGATGCGTGCCTTGATTGCTGAGTTGCTATGCGCTGCCCTACTGCCGTTGTTGCTGAACATGATTGTGTCGCATCAACATGCAGCAGAATGCGGAGCATGCAGAGACCCCAGCCAACGCCGAGAGACGATGGAGTGCATGTGCTACGGGAGACCTCATGCAAGATGCACGCACCATGCCATGCCATGCCGCACTGCACCGCATCGCACTACTACTCGCGCACGTACCGCACCGCACCGCACCTTTGGCTGATGCTGGCTGCATGGCTGACACTCGCACTCGTGACTCTTGACTGTGCATGCAAGGCTGCACTTTTGCTTGGGACGCTCTTGCGCCCGGCCGTTGCGCAAGTCACGGTTGACTGCCCGGACGCGCTCATGCTATAGCGCGCCTCCTACTAAGTACAGTACTCGTGATTGGATATATACACAAATATACAATAGATGCAATTATATTTTCATAGCTCCTGCTGCTGCAATGCTGCTTCTGCTACTTCTGCTGATCTGGTGCTTCGTCGCCTCCGCGCCGCACTGACTGACAGGACTCACACTGCATGCATATACCGGTACGCTGCGACTCGTGACTGACTGACTGACTGACTTGTCTTGTCTTTGCACCGCGCGCTCGCGCTCGCTCGCATCACGCGCGTACGGACGCGCAAGCACGACCGACGATTTCACGACATGTGGCTCGCGCTCGCACCACCAGCAGCAGCAGCAACGAACTCGATCATCGATTTCCAACCTTCATTTCCCGCGCAAAAAAACAAGAGAAGCGACGCATCCATTCCTCTTCCCAAATCTTTAAGCCCGTCGCGCATCCTTCCCCTTTGCAATCGAAATAGAACGTTGAAACACGGCATTTCGATTTCTTTCTTTGCCCATTGCCAAGGATTCAAAAGTGCGGACGTGTACCCCTATCATTGCGATACGGCCATCCCCGCTTGCGACTCAACCCCGCAACCAACAGAAAAAGAAATACGGCACTCAGCACCTTTGTAGCCGCGCGCGCTACAGGGGCATCCCCCATTTCGCATCCAATTCGGGCATTTATTTGAGCGCCTAAGCACTCGATCGCACCATTGCGCATAGATCTTTGGTGACTCTACCATCAACACTTGGACACACCCCCCAAAAAGGTGCACGGACGCGCGGCGCCGTGCCTACAAGTCTTCAACTTGGAGTCGACGCTTCTACTCTCGACGATTCAGACGTGAAGCTAGCTTTGACTGTTTAGCTTACAGAGCTGTTCACGAGTACCGCTACCTTCAATCGGGTCTCTGAAGCAGCTGCTGGAGCATTGCAAGTCCGGAGTCGATTAGGGATCAAGTGTAGCGGAAGGATTTGCAGATCGCATAGAGCATACCGAGGTGCGTAGGTAGTGACACAGAATGTCGGAGACAGGGCGAGCGGCTAGCTTCCATTGGGAGTTGGAGCCAAAAGGTCTGGTGCCAGTCCTTTGCGGAACCCAGTCCATCGGGGTAGGACAAACAGCCTAGAGCTTGCCTTCCCCGCGGGCCGTGAGCTACCGCGAGGTCACATTAGGATCTTTGAGCAGGATCATACCAGCTTGGCATGCATAGCGATCCAGCGGAGAGGACATGCCTGTCGCGTGTCGTAGCAGGCGAGCCGCATAGATACCGGATGTATTTCAGCCGTGTGCTCATCCTTCCAACTCCTGCTGCTTCTCCTTCGCTGCCTTTGCGTCTTTAGGCAAACATGCAGACCATCAAATGTGAGTGCCTGCAGTCTTGTTGCTCACCGTGAACCTCATCAGTGCAATGGCACTGAATGCACTCCCTCTCCTACTCAAAAGGCGTGGTGGTTGGAGATGGTGCGGTCGGTAAGACATGTTTACTCATCAGCTACACCACCAACGCATTTCCTGTGAGTGACGAAGGCAGGCAGCCCGTGATGTGCGCGAGACCCTATCGCGGTTTGTGAGCAGATCTAGCGCACATGCTGAAGTTTGTGGTTCTCTACAGGGCGAATACATTCCCACTGTCTTCGACAACTACTCTGCGAATGTGATGGTTGATGGCAAACCCGTTAGCCTTGGTGAGCACAAAAGACAACATTCGATGCTAGGATAGTAGCTCGCTTACCTCGACGCCGAATGCATGGCGCTCTTCGCAGGTCTGTGGGATACGGCCGGTCAAGAAGACTACGACAGATTGCGTCCCTTGTCCTATCCACAGACCGATGTCTTTTTGATTTGCTTTTCACTGGTCAGCCCGCCATCATTCGAAAACGTGCGGACAAAGGTAAGCGGGCGCATTGAGCTGTGTCGTCGACCTGCTTGGCGCAAAAGCGAGGCTGACTCTGCCACCTTTCTGCGGGTTCATTCGCGTAGTGGTGGCCTGAAATCAGGTGTGTGCAGACTGGCGCATCGTCCTATGGCTTTCTGTGCGGATGCATATGCTGACTCTCGTTGCCACGCACGCATAGTCACCACGCGCCCAATATTCCCATGATTCTGGTCGGAACCAAGTTGGATTTGCGAGAAGACCCGGACACGATCATGAAGCTGCGGGACCGCAGAATGCAGCCCATTGGATACCCGCAAGGCAACCAAATGGCGCGTGACATTGGAGCGGTCAGGTATCTCGAGTGCTCAGCCTTGACGCAGAAAGGTCTCAAGGGCGTCTTTGACGAGGCCATCAGGAGCGTTCGTGAGTGGTCAAAGGCCAAGGTTGAGCGGTGGACACGAGCAGGGCAAGAGCACCCTCGATGCGTCCTTATGGCAACTCGTTCTGACAAGGCCTCGTCGGCGCATACCTTGATTTCCAGTTGCGCCTGCACCCGTCAAGTCAAAGAAGAAGCGCGCTTGCACCATCCTTTGATGCGAGTCGGCATAAAGCGCATCATATTCCCATTACTGTCACTGCGCTTCTGCGGACTTTGAGAAAGGAGCAGCGAGTGGACAGAAGGAGTCGGACGTGTTTGCGGGAGATTGTGAGAGCTGGAGGCTGCAAGTGTCGTGGAACAAAAAGGGAAAGACGATCTGATGCGGGATGCGCGCCCTGCAAAGTGTTGGCATCCAGCTGTGGCGCAATGACCTCGTCGCCCACCTGGGTCAACATGATTCAGGCACGTCGGCCGGCTCATCAGTCACCCTCCTTTCGTCATCCCCATCTTCTGCTCCGCCCTCTTCCTCTTTGAGCTGTCCCTTGAGCACTCTCTCTAGCCTCACGAAGTGTACATTTTCAAACCCACCGCCAACCTCTTCCCTCCACCACAGCTTTGCCCGCCTATTTTCTCATTTCTCAATTCTTCTCGTTTACCTTGCTTGCGCACTTTTCGGCTCCCCCCTCCCCTCCTTACTTGGTATCGAGCAGCCAAATCCATTCCTTTTTCTGACTCTTTATTGTGCGCATTGCGTTTCTGCGCCAAGTCTGGACATGCGCGGTCGGTCAGCTCTTGACAGTGGGGCGACAGCGAAAGAAGGATTGACGATGGGTCAAGATGTGCGAAAAGACTACAGACGCTCAGCGAGAAGAGGAATGCTGGACCAAAGGCACTGGAGGGAGGGAGTGTGGAGCTCAAGCAAGAGGGTAGGGGGTCGTATGACTTCCTTCGAGGAGGGACAAAAGTTCAAAGGAACTCAAGGGACACTAGAGGTGGTCCTGAGCTAGCCATGCGGCGGTAATGCGAGCCATGTGCTCGCTATGATCGAGGCAAAAAGCGTGAGGCATGCCGATGTTGCACACTGCGCTCGTGAAAGCTGGCAGAGGATGGCTTGCCACATTCTTGGCTGACCCAGCAAGAGCAGTGTTGAGATCCAACTCGACTTCTGGCGACTCGATCACTGCTGAACCGCTGTCCAGCGCACGAGCAGCTGTTTTGGGCGTGTTGTGCGATAATGTCACCGTCTCGTCGTCTGTCGATGCGCCTGCATACTCTGTTGCGCTCGAATCGTCCGGCGCTTCGATGGAGATGCTGCCATCAATACTTCGCACAGCTCGCGCCCCAATCAGAGAGGGCCTTCTACGCGGCGCTCGGCTGTTCAGACGTGGCGGTGTGACGGGTGGAGGTTTAGAGGCTTTGGCTGCGTGGTGAGCTTGCCTTCGAGATCTCAGAGCACTGATTGAAAATGTCCTGAACTTCTTCAGACTGGGAGCGGGCATGTCGGAAGGCGGCGCGGTCAATGGTGATAGAGTAAGAGCACTCTCGACTTGCTTTCGGATCCATGATGGAGCCCAGCCGTCCTGAGCGTCGTGCAACAAGCAATCGTGGTTAGCATCCATCAATCGCCCGAGATCAGAGCTCGCACCACCGCGACCTCACCTCCTCTCCACGAGCCCAATATGCTCGAACCTTGCCCTCTCCGCTTCCAATCTCTCGCACGGCCTTGATCGTCTCGTCACGAAGCTTTCTGATTTCGCGCATCTCCTCCCCCGCCATGTTGACAGCCGAGCGCACAGCCCCTGGCGTGACGAGAAAGTTCGTGGTCGTCTTGGCAGCTTCAAAGTTCTGCCTGGTGAGTAGACGAATGAGAGGTAGGAGTAGTGCGAATGGCAGAAGCGAAAGGACTAGCAGAGGCAAGGGCAGAAAGAAAGCAGGAACGATTGGATGAAATAATGGCTGGAGAGGGGCAGGGAAACGTTGAGGCGATACAGTCAGCTTGCCCAATCGGCTTGCAACGCCAGCAGATGACACTCACAGCTAGCTTCCTGGCATTTGGCGTCTTGCCAATCCAGCTGACCGTAGGAAAGAGCATGTGCACGGAGTCCACGACATGCCTTCGCTCCTTCAGGCATTCAAGGGCGATGTATGCGCCGACTGAGTGACCGCCCAGCACGAACCTCGGTCGCTCTTCTCGTCCATGTATGCGCTGTGCTGGGTAAGCTGCGCGGGCTGCATCGATCGCCAAGAGCTTGTGTGCTACTTGAGCTCGAAGCGTAGTCGGTGTTGGCGAAGGTGCGGCGTGACCCAAGTGCGATACGCATATGATTTCGATTTTGCCTTGAAGTGCTGGAGCGGAGGAAAGAGCGCTGAGGTATGGTGTGCTATGAGAAGAAGCAGTCAATCAGCGAAGCGTCTCGGAGCTCGAGCAATGTTGAAAAGATCTGATCTGCTCACTAATACTCTGCGAGGCCTGGATTGCCGGGAATGAACAAGAGCACAATCTTTGGGGGACCGCCGGCTCGGCTCGGCCAAACAAGAGCTGGTGCACTTGCAAAGGTCGCTCTCAAAGGCGGCGTAAATGCTGCCAGCAGGGCAACAGCCATATTGTTGAGGCCAAATTTCGATAGCGAAGTTTCTACCGACTTTGGTCGAGCGCTTCAATGTCAGAAACTGGATGGTGGTCTTCTCAAAATCAGTGCTCCGAAATGGTCAAGGTGGCTCGCTCAGCTTTCAAGGTCTCACCCGATGATCATTCAGCGGCGTAAGAGTTGACAATTGTCGATGAAGTTCGCCCGGCCGCTTGTACGCCAGGTGCGCGAAATGCGTGTTGCTCAATAACGCTTGGGTTCGTGATTGGAGGCGTGAATGCAGGTTGCTCGTCAGAGTCGACTCACGACTGTGGCCTCTCAAGCCTTCCATGAAATGAGGCGGAATGCTGCACGCCAGCATCCCTGGTGCGGTGTGGAGGCACCCCAGAACTCAGCGCGCAGCCAGTCAGTCACCAGTCAAGTCATGAGTGTCCCCCGCCAACCCGCCGAAATCGTGCACGCTGGTGGACAAGGAGGCAGGATCACGTGACTGTGTTGGAAAGCCAGGTCGAGAGGTGAGCTCGATGACCGTGGTTCGCAAGTAGGTACGGTACGGTACGGTATGCAAAGCATGTAAACTTCCCGGGTGATTTGGTTTGACATAGTATGACACCGGTGGCACGCGCGGAGCACCTCACCTCCCACATCGACGCATAGGCACAGAACATCAGCGCCTTAGGTCTTTTGCACAGTATGGAGTTAGACTTGACTCCTGCCCCGGGCGATCAGCCCACCACGCCCCTCGCTTTCCCACTCTTATCGCTCGTAAACGTGGCACGCAATGAGCACGGTCTACGCACCCACGACTTCAAGACTTATCGGCATTTTTGCACCACCAAAGTGCACCGCCTCAGGTCCGGCCTAAAGATTACTCATGCCGATGAGGCGCATGCGCCAAAGTCTGACCCTGCTGCTCAACAGGGAAAGAATCGACCTGCAAAGAATGCTGGCAAGGGCAGGAAGAAGCCGCGTCAGCAACCAAAGGAGGCGCGTCCCAATGTCTTCACCAAGAAATCCATCAGCTTGAGCAAAGTGATGGACAGTAGGTGAGCATCAGGGCGAGGAAGGTGCTTCTCTACGGTAAGCGCTGGTGCTTACTCCGGTATCTCGACTTGGCTCCCTATGGCAGGCCGCTTCAGCTGCTGCTGTTCGAAGCGGAGCGATCGTGGGCTTTCGTGCAAGACTTGCGCACAGACGACGATCACTCCTCACGTCAGCTCGCAACGCACGCCAGAAGGGCGCTGTCGTGGCTTCGTGATCTCGAGCAACTCGCAGGTGCGCTGGCATCTCGCATCGATGTGCGAGGAAGAGGCCAAGTGGCTGCATATATTGCAAACCAGCGAGGCAGCTTAGCCTTTGACCGCGAAGACTATCCAGCAGCTTTAAGGAAGCTCAGCGTAGCACGGAAGATTTACGCGGCTCTAGCAAATGCCGCGGTCGACTCCAAGATGGAAGCGTTGGACAACGCTTGGATCGATTCATCGGAAGCTCAAATTCGCTTCTGCGCGTACTCTCTGGAACTGGGCGAAGGAACGCCAGACGAACTTGCCGATGCTGCCGCCCCTTCTGAGGTTTGCGCGGAGGAAGCCGCAGACTTTGAGAATCTGATGTCCGAATTGACGCAGCTCGGGTCCCAGCAAAAGTCGCGCACTGCTTTCACATTGTCGTGGAGAGGCGAAGTGATACCAGTCCGCAACCCCCAACTGATCGACGCTCTCGCTCGCGTTAGCTCTGCAGAAGCTTTGCTCGACGATGCTGTACACGCGCAGCGAGACGTCGAGGCCGCACCCGCGAATCGTAGCCGGAAGGATGGCTATAAGCGCGAGCGTCTTACTTCAGCCCAACGAACCGCAAAGAAGAGAGCTTCAGTGGCAGGTGCACCGAACGTGAATGGTGCGGTCACGGGCTCAGGTCCTGGTGCAAATGCCTCCTCTAGTGTGTCCAAATCTGGTGGAAGAACCGAGCTGGATCCATACGATCAAGCCCTGGGTGCTTTGTCCGACGCCGAGGCTCTAGCGCGCAGTCTGGTCGAAGATAACGCTGCTGCTCTCGCCAAGTCGCACAGCGCACGCTATCAAGCCGTGGGAGCGGATCTTCGCAGGGCTCACGAGTGGCTCTCCTTCCGTCTGCAAAGCGTGCGAGTGCGAAGGAACACGCATTTGATTGATCAAGTTGTAGCCAAAGCGGCGCAGCGAGACAAGCGGGCCAGCGAGTTGCTTGAGAAGCGCCTAGCTAGCGGAGTGGTCGCCAGCAAGAAGAGCAGACGATCATCGACCAAACCGAGTGAGCGCCGAGCGAAGAAACCTGCCAAGCCACAACGTGCTGGGCTGCAACCTAAGAAACCACGCACCACTCCACGAACGTCCAAACGTAGACCTGCTAAGAGCGGCACCAAACGAGCACGACGGGCACGTCTACAGGCGAAGGAAGAACGAGCGCGCGACATCAATGCGGCTCACCAGCACCGTCGTCAGGCCCGCGTCATCCCCGGTGTTGCTAAGCTGCTCGACGGATCTGAGGCGAGTCTTCAGACTGCTGCTGCTCTCAATCTTGTGGAAAGTCACCCGGATGTAAGCTCTTTGGTGGACGCAAAGATTGCTTGGTACAGAGCAGAAATCTTCCGCGTTCTAGCGAGCGCTTTCAAGCTAGCCGAAAGATACGACCACGCTTTGTTGCTGCTTTCGCGAGCCAGTCTCTCGCTCAGACAGGCTAGGGCAGCTGATGAATTAGTAGAGGACCACGGAAAAGAGGATGCCGAAGTGCCCCCTCGCCTTAACGAAGAGATGTTCGAGAAGACCAACAAGCTCATTTTGGAGGCGCAACTTGTGAACAGAAGAGAGCTGTACTTTGCGCAACACGGGCTCGTTGAGAAGGGTAGCACCAGCAGGCAAAGTGGCAAGAGGCGCGCCGCAGCTTCACACTTATCTCTTGCTGACTCGAAGACTGGTCAAGTAGTTCAGGATGTGGCTAGCAAGCACGTCACGTTTGAGCCAACGGAGCTGGATCGCGCCGTCCAACTCGACGAGGCTACGGAGGCGCAGCTGCAACGCGAGCTTCGCCAAGCTCTCGGCGGCGCCAACAAGTCTTCGGGCGCTGTCGCAACAAGAGAGAACACAAGCCGCGGCGCTCAGCAGCAACAGCATCAGGAGCGAAGCGAGATCGCTTCTTCCCCTGACAAGGCGGCTTTGGCATCTGCTGCCCAGGCTGAGTCAAGCGGCATTCCCGTGTCCGGCACCTTTGACCTTGCTGATGAACAGCCGGAAGAAGATGAAGATGATCACTTTGAAGATGCGGACGATGAAGACGTTGCAGTGAAGGAAATGGAACCTGCCGATCAGAAGAAGGGCTGGCTGGGAGGATGGTTTGGTGGACGAAAGTAAGGCAAGGCGAGCGCCCGTTGTTGCGTGCGAAAATATCGCCCATGAATCGTTGAATATCGTTCGTGTGCAATGGGTCTCTGTGAACGTGCATGAGATGTTTGGTGGGAGGAGCAATGCCATGAGACTGTCTTGGACATGCCGGATGTGTGAAGAGTGACCAGTCTGAAACGTGCTGCAAGAACACGTCTCCCGACACGAGACCGAGACCCCATGCTTCTTGAGGGAACGATGTTGCGTGGGCCAAGAGAACCTATGCGCCTACCTTGAGTCCGCTCTGGTTCATGCGAATAGTGCAATCAGCTCTTGGACCATCTTGCACGGGATACAATCAGGGTGATCTCCAATATTCCCCATTCAGATTCAAGATTCAAGATTCACGATCGTCGACTCAAAATCATAGGGAGGACAGCATTGCACTGCGGGACCACGAGTATGATCACGTGATTTCGACTTTCCCTTGCGCGCGTGTGCGCCGGCGCGCGCGCGCGCGGCTCGCAAGCGAAATTTCTGCAGATGCTGGACTTGGACTCCTTCGCTCAAGGCTGTGACCGGCTCGAAGTCGTGAATCGCAAGAGCCTCTTGTCGAACAAGCGACAATCGTGAATCTTTCCCTTCCGATCCACCGCCTGACTTGCACACCCGACATTGCAAGCTAGAGAAAACAAGCTCACTCGTACAAGCCAGAAGCCACACGGTCGACATGGCAGAGTTACCACTGCCGGGCTCTGAGCAGCCCCATTTGGCGGGAGATGAGATGGAGGTGGATGGGGAAAGACCATCTTTGAGCGACAAGATCAAGATTGTGAGTCAATGATCGCTAGCTGCTGGCCTTCAGGGCGAGCCCTTGCTGAAAGTGTGTGCTGTGCTGTGCTCCGACGATGGGCTACAGCTGCCAGGTCATGCGCCTGATATGAGCGCAGCGACGTTTTGCCTGGAAGAGGAGGATCACACGCTAGGCAACTCTCTGCGATACATGCTGATGAAAGAGTGAGTAATTTGCTTGGACTTGGACTAAGCGCATCGGTGATGCAGCAACATGAGACGTAGACGGGTCACTCAAAGATGACGAAAAGATTGCACAACGCATCGAGCGAAAGGACGCCAAGTAACGCAGGCGGACTTAGTAGCGATGTGAAAGAGAAACTCATCAATGGAATTCTTCGTTGCTGAGAGTGACCTTTAGGCGAATGCAGAGCGAGGGAGGGAGAGAA